ATTCTGGTTTTAAGAGAAATCATGAAATTATGAAATCGCGAATTCATGAATTCACGAATTCACGATTTCATTATTTAAAGTGAAATCGTGAAATAATGAAATCGCGAATTCATGAATTCACGATTTCACAATTTCAATAATTCTATCAGTGACGTCAGAAATGACATGCGCGGTCAGACAATTTGTGAAAGGAAAAGCTCATTTGAATCTGCGCATATTACTGGATATCATCATGGCACGTTTTTTTAGCAATTTGGCAATGGTAAGTTGTTTTTATGTGATTGTTGAATTATATATCCAATATATATCTAGTTCACAGATTTTATAATCGGATTGTACATTTTGAAAAATCTTCAAACATCTTGACAGGGATGGATTTGGACAGTTTAATCATAAAACAGTAAAGTTAATGTTATTGTTATTCTCTGGTTTTCATTTTAAAACTGTTTTCTTAAAACTGATTATAAACTTGGCTATTGTTTCTGGGAGTTTGAATTTAATGAATGGAAAAAAAGTATAAGCAACGAGCCAAAATCAGATTTTATAGATTAAAAAGAAAAAAGTATATTTGATATTCATATGAGTTCCAATAATTTAAGATTTTAATAATTCATCATTATGTGACGTAATATCTACAAAGATTTTGCCAAAAATTGGCTCTTTTTGGTTGTTGCACGCTTCCGTTAAACATTAGGCAGAAATCATTATGGGTTAACCGACCTCCCTTGTCCTACGGCCATGAACAGCATTAAAATTTTTATTAAAGAATGTAGTGAATTAAACACTGATAGAATCTTCTTTTTTCTATTTTTCAGATTCTGCTATTGTCGCATGTAAAAGGATATTATGGCGTATTCACAAGACCCGCAGCGATTCATGAAACTACAATGCAGGTTATAACCCATTATTTCACCATGGGATATAAGTACAAAGAAATATAAAGTGCATAGAATAAAATTGAGTTTAAGACATTTGAAAAGAGTACTTAAATCTCTAAATTTACGTCGAGGGATCCCTGACAGCATGATTGACGAAGCGATTCGAGTAATACTTCAGGATTTTTCAGGGAGTGGGAAGTGTATTGGGTACAAAACAATGTGGAAACGACTAAGGCTGAAGTATGGACTAAGGATGTGTCGTTTTACCGTTCTTCGATTAATGTGGATTGCTGATCCAGCTGGAATGGAAAGGCGAAAGAGAAAGCGATTACTCTGACGACAATATTTTTGTCCTGGTTCTTATATTTTGTTTGGCATATTGAAGGATATGACAAAATAAAGTCATTCGGATTCGCTATACATGGTCAATTGATGGATATAGTAGGCGAATCGTGTGTCTGTCTGTTGGAACAAGAAATAACGATCCAAAAATAGTTATAGATATTTTCTACAAACCGTTGATAATTAAGGCGCCATTATTTCAACTTTAATTCGTAGTGATCGGGGCACAGAAAACGTAATAGTTCGTCAGCTACAGATATTTTCAGACAAGGCCATGATGATGCCCATTCAGGACGAAGACGCTTTTTAGTGGGCAAAAGTACTTGAAACCAAAGGATAGAGTCTTTATGGGCAATGTTACGCCGACAAGGCATGGATTTCTGGATCAACTTATTTAAAGATATGCGTTGCACAGGTCTTTATAATGATGCAGATATTTTTCATCGACAATTTTTATTATATTGTTTCATGCGATCTTCAAAATTTTATGACAAAACTTGCATCAGTTGCATGACATTTCATCTTGTTCAAAGAAAGATGGTTCTCAAGGAAAACCTGAGATCTTGTTTACCATACCCGAGTTGAAAAAGAAGAAAAGTTATCACCGTAATGTTCACCATGGTGATATGGTGATATAGATATATGTAAAACATTATATATGCGGCAACCAAACACGTCGGGCTGTTTGCCTGAATGTATTAACTTGTTTGATTTGATAAGTTTTCACAGTAGAGTGGAACTGATGAATACTGAAGCTGCTTTTTATCTTTATATATCTATCATATAATTTATTGATCGAATGTAACAATATAAGTTTTCATGTATACATAATTTATGTTTATGTTTATAATGTATTTAATACTTTAGCTTCTTTGTACTTAAGTGCAGGGTAAACGTTGGCAACTTTAAATTTGTCCGTCGTAATAGTACGTCATTTATTCGTAAAACAGTTTCTATTCAAAGCACACTAAATAGCGGTTTCAGTCTTGTTATGACTTTGTCGAAAAATGTTCCACTTTTTTATGATTTTGGCTACACTTCAACAAAGGTAACACAGGTTGTTTCCCTATGAATGTTTCGACCCAAGGACGATTCCATTCCAGAATTTTCCGGATGTTTCAAAACAAATTATTGACAAAACATATTTTACCATGTTATTCTATATTATTCCGAATAGTATAACAATGCACTGGTTGAGGTAGAATCGTCTATTGTCAACTCGTAACTGGGGGTGGGGGTGGAAACGTTCAGTCACCATTTCATTTGTAGTGATTGAATTTTTGGTGTGTTTCCCTTTAGGTTTTATTCATCCATTGAAAGAACAAAATATTTCTGAGATTATTTTTGTAAATAATGTTATATTTTAACGCTGTACACATATATCACGATAAAGTTTCAGGGGAGCGATGGCCTAATGGTTAAGGCGTCTGTCTCGCAACCTCGGAATCGTGGGTTCGAACCCTAACGGGTCACGACCATGATTCCTCATATGGCACCAGTACTGGTTGGTTCAAGGAAGCGGACTCGAGAATGATTTATATAAGTATAAGAACTTCTTTCACAGTCGAGCTAAAATAAATAAGTTTAAACTAAACTAATGTGTCAGGTTTACAGAGATAACTCTTTTATATATCGTATCTAATATATTTAGTAAATATTCTGATAAAATACCACGAAATATTTGACAAAAAATTAAAATAGGTAGCCACACAACATAAGTATATCTGAAAATTCCATTCTAAAAGTCACTTGCAGCAATAAAAAACTTGTGAGCCTTGCAGAACGTTTTGACATTAATTATAGTTTCATCAAAGATTGTCCTTGCACTTTTATTAGCAGTTTTGGACATTTCCTGGGGTCTGGTCACGTAATTAACCGTAACGTACTTAACAAAATTAATTTTCATTTTGGCTTTTCTTCCTTATTAAAAAAAGACTTTTATAGATTTTAACTGAATTGTAAAGGTTTCGTTTTCCTATGATCGTTTAAGCACGTTTTTACAATTCACTTGAAGTATTATATTATTGGTGTCATGTATACAGTTCATGTTAAAAATATTAGATAGTTTTTTTTATGCCTAAACAAAAAAAATGTGCTCGAAACATTTGGATTAACGACTATTTTTGCACCATAATAAAGTATAAAAAGTACATTGACAAAAATTGATTGTCACATTGTAAAAAAGTTATAATGTGCACAAAAGTTGGTAATGTAATTTGGTTTTAGGGAACAAAGCAACTATATATTCGTTTATAAAGCATAAAAGTACCTTGTAATATTGATTTTACTATTTATCAAGGCATATACATGTGTAATTTAAAACCTTATAATTTGTTGTTTTTTCTGAATGTTTCACAAATCTTCAAACCTTCAGTTTACGGCTTATTTACATACTACATATACATACATTGGGGAATATTGCTGCAAACCAAAAGAAGAAAAACTTCAAACATATACTAGTACTTGGATATAATGACTGTTCAATAACACGGCGCTCGTATTTGTAAAGTCAAAAAAGTGAAAAGCTCACTTACTTTTGCAGCTAATCATGTGACCAGATTCGAAATTTACTTTAGGATTTTATTATTATAGTGGCGAGAGATTCAATTGTCTATTAATAATTGTCATGTCAAGTTACACTTGATTAGCTTTTAAATAACTACGTTTAATTCTGAAAAATGTCCATTAGAATTTTTTTTTTCGTCGACTACTTGTTTAAAATTTTGAGCGTTGTAATTCAGAACTCTATCACTACCGCACAAAAAGTACTATCACTTTGTAAATTTTTTATCCATTCTTGTACATTATTATAATAAAGGCATTATAAGCTGTAACGTCTTAGTAGTCGTTACAGGAATGCTGTGGTGTTTCAAGATATTCTTTTTTATTTTAGAAGTGAAATACCATAATTTTGTTTTCATTTTTGTTCATAACAATGTCATCGGATAAGAGTTTTGGATTTTACATTTTGGCCTACAACAAACGCATATAAGGGCTTATAGTCGTTATTAGAATATTAAAAATCCATCTTAAGTTTTTTTATTATACAAATGTATTGTGGACACAAAGCAAACGACAGACATTAACATAAAAAGCTAAAATGTGATTATTTTTTATTATTAATACTGTTATCATTACTACCATAAAAGTTAAATTGAAAACAATTAAAATAACCATGATCAAACTAATCCCAAATTAAAATCTAGTGATATTTAATATTAATCATCTTGAAAGAAGGCTGCATTAGCAAATGCCATACCACAGCATGTCAAACATCAAAGAACACATTAACTAAATGATTAACACTATGAGATAACAATGGAGTCAATAGACAAAGACCAGTCGTTGATTAGTCAGAATTATTTTATCAGTTGTAAAAATAAATCATATTTCAGGTAATTCAGATTATTTTCTAAGTAACCATTTATAACACAGCTTTTAGACAGAGTAGTTGCGTTCTTAACCATTCGGATTTATAGACCGGTCACACAAATGATCAGAAACCGAGTGGATTTAAAAAACCCTTCATAAAATATTTTATGATAAAAAGTGAACACAGATACATCTAAACATTAACATTTAAATAGCAATATCAACTTTAAAATTGAGATATATATGGTGGCATTTTTCTGCCATCAGATAACCATATAACTAACTAATTAATTAAGAGGTTAACTAGTTACGTAACTAGTTAACCTCTTAATTACCTAGCTAGTTATGTGGTTAACTAGTTACGTAACTAGTTAATTTTTCAATAAATAAAAGATCATAACAGGAAATAAATGCATGTTAGTTCCTACAACTGCCATCCTTTTATTATTTTGCAACTTAATATTATGAGGTTAACTAGTTACGTAACTAGTTGACCTCCTAACTAGCTAGTTAATTAAGAGGTTAATTAGTTATGTAACTAGTTAACCTCTTAATTTACTAGTTAATTAAGAGATTAACTAGTTACGTAACTTGTTAACATTTTAATTAACTAGTTAGTTAAGTGATCGATATTCTTATAGTCAAGCTAAAATGTCTTTTGAATGTGATTACACACTAGGTATTAAGAAGACTTGCAGCATCTGCTACATTTTTTCTGCAAGTGTTGCAGTTTAACAACAATGTCAATAGCACTTGGTCTTTTTGTCATATCATACATTAAACATTTCTTGACAACTTCAATAACTGCATCTGGAAATTCTTCCCCTCCTTGTAGATAACTCAGGCCATGGGGCTGCATCCCCTTTTTCATGTTTTCTTCCAGTATTTTAGTACCCTCACTATCAGAGTCATCATTATCATCATCCCCTCCATCATCAATATTCCAGATTTCTTTTCCAGTATCACCCAGTCCAGGTTCAACATTCCCTTTAAAATGTTTTTCAACTTCACTCTTGATATATGCATAAGTAGATTCATGCTTTTTCAGTCTAATTTCGTGTACTCCACCTTTTTCTTTATTTGATAGTCTGCGAGTGCCCGACATTGACCTCACTTTGCAGGCAATTTTTATTGTCATTTCTTTATCTTGCTCAGGCTGAAAAATCAAAATATCAATACAATGCATCGTATATGAACATATTGGGTATTTCAGGAGCACACTGATATTTATAAGACAGCATTGATGGCTCAATATTGTTAACCTGAGTCCATCTGCAATAATATCGGCAACAAACTATGATAAACTATCAGTCTTAAAGAAAATTACGATCAATTGTATATTTCATATTTTTACTATCTGAAATGGTGATTTAATTTTCACTATAGCGATCATTTGACCAAGACTTGTGAAATCCTGATGACAATGGCAGACTGTATGATAAATATAAGGTTATTTCTAAAATTTGACCTTGTGTCCTAGTTTCGGGTCTGACATGGCCATATTCAAATTAATCCATTAGGCATGAATGGTAAATCATTTTGACAAAGTTTCATTGACATAACATAGAATTTTAGTCTCTTGATTGTAAACAATAAGATAAACAAGATCAACAAGGAAAGGCGGCATTCAAGGAACGTAATCCCCACATGACCCAGCAACAAGAACCAGTGGCAAGGAGCCCAGGCGGTCCCCGACAAAAACAGGACAGGGCACAAGGCGGAGCACGGACAGGCTCATCACCAAAACGACAAACAACCTGTCACCGACAAGGAACACAAAGAAAACAAGCAATTGAGCGAACAATAGAAAATAATAAGGTTTATGTAAGATTTATCTTGTGTTGTTTCATCATACATAAATTCAGACTATTCTTTTTTCCTAGATCAGTGATCACATGTGTCACCTGCCGATAGCAATTTAATTATGGGCCAACTTGCTTTTTTCATTTACGAGCCATAACTCAGCTTAACTTATTCACCAATTTAATGGGTTAGACATGCTCTTGTACTTAAGGTATCAATGCCATACCCACTCGTTTTAATTCAAACCTGAAACTATATGCTTCAGATCAAAGAAAAAGATGAATACATAGGTTAGATGTAGGCAACACATTCTTTTTATACTCAAGGCAAAAGCACAACATTGCATCGGCCTAGATGACCATGACCTCTGACCCAGCGAACTAGCTCATGTGCATGACAATTCATGACATATGAAATTCCTCCATGAACAAAGAAGTTATGGCACGAACAAACAAATACTGAATAGCCACTTTGACAACTATCTCGAGCTCAGTGGAAAAAAATCCTTTAATGACTATGCATAATAACTTAAAGTATAAGCAAGATACAGTACCAATAAACACAAGATTTTTTTGCGAAACCCTCCGCCTCACTATGGAAATTATTTGTCCCCAGTAATATTAAAATCCCTCTATGCATGTAGGATTTACACTTGGGTCATGGGTTTGCGCTGACTCCCAAGTGTGACCTTGGCCTTTGAGCAGCAGATCTGGGTGTTGTATAAGATATACCACCACCATGGTGAAATTTGGTAACAAAATTGTTATCCTTTAAAGAAAGACAAAATATAGACGGGACAAAGCAGCTGCAGGACAGACGCCAAGATGGACTTTCTTAAATTTTGGTTTCATGTGAGTGACTAATCTTTTGTTCTGAAAAGACACACAAACACCAAAGCAAGAGGGCCATGATGTCCCTATATCGCTCACTTGTTTCATAACCGCCTCCGTGGTCGACGGGTTAGAGTCGATGACTTCTAATCCAGTTACCTCTCTGGCGTGGGTTCGATCCCCGGGAGATGCTTTGGTAGTTGAGCGCGGAGGAAGGTAGTCTAGTACTGGTGTTACTCAGCAGGAAAGATGGTTAGGGAGCTACCCGCCAATATGACTGAAATACTGTTGGGGAAAAGGCGTAAAATGAAACAAACAAACAAACAAACCTGTTTCATCTGACATTTGGCTTTTGTCATGGCCAACATCCTACCAAGTTTACGACTAATTTGACCCCGGGGTCATGATTTGAACAATCTTTGGTAGAGGTCCACAAGTCAATGCTACAGGTGTCGTATAGCTGGTTGCACAGGCTAATGAGTCATACACGCTATATTCAAAAAGAATGACAAGTCAACATGTATATACATATAATAAGGTTTTTATTTCATAATGTGCACTATGGAACATGACATGATTTATGAGTATTATAGTTCAGGATGCATACGGACTGACCTTATGTCAGGATGATTAATATATGTAACTCTTAAACGTGTGTATTTATATACATTATAAAATGTCCTTAGGACAGGTTGATATTATATATACTATTCTCAAATGTCAGAGAGGGAGTTCGACTTTGGTATTCCACTCGTTCACTTTGTGTGTTTGTATTTGTATATTAAAAGTATGTAACATCCGTGAGTTCTTCCTACGTTATACGACAACGGTTGATTTGGCGCCTAAGACCAGCGATGTCGAAGCGACGATTTTGGATAGCGGGGACACAACGAAGTACCTGTAACAGAAAATTAAAGGTGAGTGATCGTTAATATACCAGTAATTTGCTAATTTTGAAGATGTCAGATCAAGAAATAGCTACAATTTTTGAAAATTTGTCAGATAAATTGAACAATATTTCAACTATCATAGGTACACAGGGTTTATCAGAAATAGTACAAAATTTTGATGGAAATACTAAATATTTTAATGACTGGATAAAATCTATAGAAAAATATGCTGTTTTAAAAGGTTTGGATGATAATAAAATAAAATTAGTCGCATTTCAATCAAGTAAAGGGACTGTAAGCGATTTTATATGTAGATATTTGCGTGATAATCCTCGTAATTCGTGGAAACAATTAAAAGAAGAAATAAGTACTAGATTTGGGGAAATTAAAGATTTACATCATGAATTTTTATCTTTTGAGAAATTTTAAACAAGATTTGGAGAAAGTGTTCAAATTTTTGGGGGAAAAATTTATTAATTGTGCTGAAACCGCTTATGAAAATTATAAACTAGGAGATAATAGTTTAATTGAACTTCAGTTAGTAGAATTGTTTACGGATAATTTAGCGCATAATTATTTAAAACTTAAACTTATGAGAGAAAAGCCAAAAACTTTACAAGAAGCAATTACGTGCGCAATGAATGAACAGAATTTCAGAGCTAGATTTTCTGCCAGAGTAAAATTTTCAAATTCTCAAAATCACGCAAAATACAATAATTACAGAGCAAATAATTCTATTCATTATTATACAAGAAATTTTTGCGTGTACTGTAAGAGACCAGGTCACCATGTGCGTAGTTGTAGATTTAGGAAAAATGAAATATATTCTGTATTTCACCGACAAAATTTTTCACGATTTAAGAAAAATAATAGCAATAATAGTTTGAAATCAAAGATTAAGTGCTGGAAATGTAATAATTTTGGTCATATTATGCGAGAATGTCGTAAACAAAATTTTTACGACAGAAACAAATAAATTTTCAGGAAAACTAGCAAGTTCCTGTCACAAAGGGTCATTGACAGGAACGATAAAATACCAAAATTTAGTATAGCATTAGCTGGAAGCCCTAATTCGTGTTTGATTAAAAATAGAAAACTATAAATACAGATCGTTAGTAGATTCAGGTGCTGAAGTTTGTCTTCTGCATCGCAGAATATATAGAAAATTAAAGAATCCCCCTCAACTTATAAAACAGAAAATAAATTTATGTTCAGTTGACGGAAATTATTTACATATAGATGGTTATATAAATCTTAATTTTCAAATAGGGAAACAGAAACAACTCAAAAAATTCTATGTTGTTTCTAAAATGAATAGAAATATTATTTTAGGCCGTGACTGGTTAACACAAAATGGCGTTAGATTATATTTTGATTTAGGCTGCTTAAGAGTTAATAATACATATGTACCCCTCGAAGAAGATATTCATATTGCATCAATTGTTAGATTAAAACAGGATGTTATTCTGAAACCTCAAACAGTTAATGTGTGCACTGCTAAGTTAAAACAAAATCCAGGCTTGGAAAATGATAAATTATATGAATTAAAAAGTATAGAAACTGGAATTATTGCTTCTGAACCAGGCCTTATGATAACAAATTCTGTTATGAAACTTTCGGCTGATAGAAGATTTCCTATTATGATTGTCAATAATACGCATAAAACTATAAGATTAAAACGAGATTCAGTAGTTGCTAAAGTTTCAGAAGTTGAGAGCATTAACTCGGTTACAGAGGCTCTTCAAACAACTTCCCCTCTTAACAACGATTTCGAACGTGATATTCATACACCTTCAGAGCATTTTAATATTGTTAGAGACTTATTAAGGAAAAATAGAAATATTTTCGCAAATAAAGATTCTGAATTATCACAGACAGATACTGTAACCATGAAAATACCAACAGGTAATCATCCTCCAATCAAATTACGCCCATATCGCACACCTTTAAACAATAGAAAATTTATGAGTGACGCAATCGATGAGATGTTAGATGCTAATATTATAAGAAGAAGTCATAGCCCCTTATTCATTTCCTGTTGTTATTGTCGGAAAACGTGACGGCAGTAAACGGTTTTGTGTTGATTTTAGACAATTGAAAATAAAAATTACAAAGCCAACATCATATCCTCTCCCATTAATTGACGATATTTTAAACACTACTAGGGTCTTCAAAATATTTTACAACACTAGACATGCGCTCAGGCTTTTTGGCAAATACCCGTGCATGAATCAGACAAGGAAAAAACGGCTTTTACGACATTCCGAGGCTTGTTTGAGTTCAACCGAACCCCTTTTGGCCTAAGTTTTCTGCCCCTGGAGTTTTCCAAGAACTCATGTCACATGTCTTACAAAGGTTTAGAGGCATTTGCTGTCAGTTATCTTGACGACATTCTGATATTTTCTAAGTCATTAAATGAACATTTATCACATATACAGACAGTATTTTCAAAGCTTAAAGAGCATAAATTAAAACTTAAACTGAAAAAGTGCAGTTTTATTCAGCAACAAACAAAGTACCTTGGTTTTATAATTGATCATGAAGGTATAAAACCAGACCCAGAAAAAGTAAAAGCTATTAGGTCACTTCCGGTACCAAAATGTGTTAAAGATGTCAGATCTTTACTTGGTGCT